AACGAATAGCTTTTTAACTTCAGTTGAGTTGAGTTTTGAAATGTCACGGATTGGGCCAGTGTCTTGTATCAATGGGGATCCAAAGTTAAACCCGTATTAGAATATACTCACAAAAAGGCCCAAGAGGCAAGTCCATTTGTCCTCCGTCTCCAAGGGACTAAAGTTTTCTTGCGTGATTTTTTCAATTTTTTTGGCTAATGTATGTGCTTTACCTTTGAGAGTCAAAACATCAACAAGATTAGTCAAACCTATAATTATTTAGATTCTTCATTGCTAAAAAGAATATTTCCTTTTGTGTTAGAGAACAATGCAATTAAACAAAACATCTTCTTCTTCACTAGAGCCTTTCTTTTTTTTTTTTCTCTCCTACGATTTAGTGGGAGTTTGCTCCTCTCCTATGGTTATCTAGTGAGAGTTTTCTCTATTAGGGATTCCTAATGCGGGTTTTCGATCTTTAGCATTTTATAATATATTGAGTTTGAAATTAGCACATCTTGCAGTCAGAAATATGAAAATATGTCACTTGGGGGTGTAAGTGTTTTATTTGACATTTGAGTTTTTTCCTTTTTTGAAGCTCGATTTGAAGTATCTATTTTTCAAATTTATTGTATCTGTATATGTGTTGGACGTAAATTCTGCCAAAATTTAAGATAGTTTATCAAAATAATTTAAGTAGCTAGCATAAACTTATTTCCGCCAAAAAAAAAAAGAAAGATGATAAGTTAAGCACTCTTCCCGTAATAAATTGCATCCTATAAAACCAATGCATAAATCTATTCCTACGTAATTGGTCAACTTGAATAAACTAGTTTTCTTGTTTTCCGGAGGTGTTGCTAATGCAGAATGCAGTCAACTGTCCGTGCACGTTGCGTTGCGTCCAACGAAGCAATAATTGCATATTTTGAAACTGGAGACTTAAATAAAGGTTATTTTGAATCATCATCATGCATCAGTAATCAGATGTTCTTGCATGGAACGCGGTTGTCCTCTTTCGTTAGACGTAGACATTAAATCGAAAACTAGCATCCAGATTGGGAAGATCGATCGGCTGTTTAAACTGTGTGTTTTTGACCAATCAAAGCGCAAACAAAGATGAAATTTAGCTCACTTCTTTTTGTCTTGTTTAGCAATGTACTACTCGTAATTAATTTGTTCCCACCTCAATAGTCAGTCTTGTTTTTAGCTTATTTTCTTATATATATATATATATACACACACTAGTCTACTTGGTTCGTGTCGATCTCCAACTCAGGATCTGGTGGTGGCGGTGGGTTGTTCTGTAGCAGTAAGCTTGAATCTGTCTTGAAAGTTAAAATACGTCTTCATGACATGAGTGTTCCCTGCAGCTATTGAGAAGGATCAATGGAGTGAATTACAGGCTCGAAGAAAGTAGTCTGATTATGATTTGTGGAGAAAGGAAGGCTGGTGATTAGTCGTTTGAAACTGTTTGTGTTGAAGACTTGACTGCTCCAAACGACAGTAGGAGAACTTGGCACCGTGGTCAAAGAAATTTTACTTTTGTCATTATTGCACATCAATCTTGGAAATTTGACTGCAAATGACTGTATGAAGAACTTTTGGGGAACATTAAACATGGTAGTAGGTAAAAGATGAAAGAGCCACAAATTGACAGCTTGACCAAAGTTTTATTCATGAAATGATTTCACGTGTGTTTGGATACACAAATTATTTAACCACTGAGACTGGCTCAGTTCCTTCTTGGCCTGTAAGTGGGGGGTTCAAATCTCACTTACAGCTAAAAAAACATCTCTTTAATCTAATAATGCCAGATTGTTGGCTAACTAGCAATGCCAGTACCGCTCAAGTACTCATATGTATGCCACCATATATAAATATTTAGAAAAGTGTATAAATGTAAGGAAAATAATAATTATAATTAGAAAATGTGTTGAAATGTAATGAAAGATGATAATGGTTAGCGTGCATCTACATTATAAATTAGATATGATTTAAATATATTAATGAATATCCAATTAGGCACTCGTTAGAAAACTCTTTTTAATATGTGTCACTTGAAGGCTTGAAATAGTCGTTCTGCTTTGCCAGTCACAGTAATAAAACTTTTCACGCCCAAGATTATATGGAAAATCAATTAGACCAAACTAGAGCTGCAAACGAGTCGAGTCGAGTCGAGTTTTAGACTAATTGAGCCGAGTCTCGATTAAATTTTACCATTAAACATGGTAGTAGGTAAAAGATGAAAGAGCCACAAATTGACAGCTTGACCAAAGTTTTATTCATGAAATGATTTCACGTGTGTTTGGATACACAAATTATTTAACCACTGAGACTGGCTCAGTTCCTTCTTGGCCTGTAAGTGGGGGGTTCAAATCTCACTTACAGCTAAAAAAACACCTCTTTAATCTAATAAGATCTGCATATCTGCTAGTCCCTGACGCAAGGCTCTTCAGCCTCTCCCTCCCTTATAGTTTAGGATAAGATAGGTTATACAATTATTATCATTTCTGAAAAAAAAAAAGATAAACAAATTATTTTATTTGTATTATAAAAGTATTTTTAATTATTTTTTATCTCACATATATATATTATATTTTTAAAAACTAATATAATTATTATTTTAAATAATTTCCTATTGAAACACTAATACACTTGGACCATGGGAGGAGGGAATGCATCTATTTTATGTTGGCAGAAGAGCCAAGATGTCTCTAGCATCCAACTTGTGTAAATTAACACCAACAGAATGGTCGGTTTAGTTCTACAGCGAGTTTGCATCTGGCAGTGAATGCCTAACATATTTGTTTGAAAAGGACGAGACTTAAAGGAAGCTAAACAACTGTGACACAACTGCCTTTTTTTTTTTTTTTTTTTTTAATGGGAGGCGTTTTTGGGGGGAGGGGGGGGGGGGCGGTGGGGTATAAATACAATGCCAGATTGTTGGCTAACTAGCAATGCCAGTGCCGCTCAAGTACTCATATGTATGCCACCATATATAAATATTTAGAAAGTGTATAAATGTAAGGAAAATAATAATTATAATTAGAAAATGTGTTGAAATGTAATGAAAGATGATAATGGTTAGGGTGCATCTACATTATAAATTAGATATGATTTAAATATATTAATGAATATCCAATTAGGCACTCGTTAGAAAACTCTTTTTAATATGTGTCACTCGAAGGCTTGAAATAGTCGTTCGGCTTTGCCAGTCACAGTAATAAAACTTTTCACGCCCAAGATTACATGGAAGATCAATTAGACCAGAACTAGAGCTGCAAACGAGTCGAGTCGAGTCGAGTCGAGTTTTGGACTAATTGAGCCGAGTCTCGACTAAATTTTACCAAACTCGAACTTGAGTTCGACGAACCGCCAATTTAAAGCTCGAGCTCGACTCGAATCTCGAGTTCGAAAAAAAATAAAAAATAATGATTTTATTTTTTAAAAATTAAATAAAATAATATTTTTTTAATAAATAATAAAATATTAAGGATATATATGTAATTTTACTATTAAAATAAGAAAATAAATATATATACTTAAAATAAAAAAATTAAAAATTATATATATATATACTCGAGCTCGCAAGCTTAATATTTTGAGCTCGAGTTCGAGCTCGATTTCGACTCGAGCTTGACTCGACCCATTCAATTCGTTTGTAACCCTAGTCAGAACTATGCGCCTGCACTTTTTTCTTTTTATAATTCTTTTAGCGGATCACAAGGGAAATTTGTGTAAAATCAAGAGTCTTTTAGAAGGCTATACAATTTCATATGGTTAGGACTTACAAGCAAACAATCATCGATCAATTTCAAGAGATGAATATACCAAAAGAGGAAAAAAAATCATAGGATTGAATGCTCCATTCATTTTAGGTTGATCGTGTTTTATTACATATACCTTGAACTATATTGGATATATTGTTGTTGAAAAATTATTGATTTTTATATATTTTTAATAAACTTTTATTAGTTCGTGCATAGTTATAATGTTGTGATCATATGGATGTTATCAATAAATGAGTTTGGACTAAATTCGAATTGGGCTCACAATTCGAATATTTTGTGAGTGAAATATGAGTTTCACATTTATCAACACGAAATTCAAAAGTGGTACTAACTGTATGAGCCGAGATTGGACAAATTAAAATCCAGCTCAAATGGCCCGATCGACGGGTCTACTTACATTTATACACTTTCTCAATTAATCTTATCTTTCCAAAAATCTAATACACCTGAAATATATATTAACGGGTGCCCACGGAAGTATCAATCCTCTTTCATTTTTTTTTTTTTTTGTGTGTACCAAAAACAGACGTGGCACTACTATGTTCTCCAAAATGCTCGCAAATTTCGGTAAAAACAATTTTGGTGCATCTTAAATACCCCTACTTGCTATTCAAATTATCCTTATACATTTTTCAACTAGTAATGCTCAAGAAATTTTTGAGATAAAGGGGAGGGAGAAAAAAACAGCAGATAAAAATATATGACTACTTGTCCTACTTTCTTATCTTATCAAAAATACATTTAATCTCGTGATCGTACATATTTCGTATGTTAAATCACTACTATCCATTTTCAAGCGAGCTGTCCTACTCCTGCTTGCTAGTTGCTGTCCAAATTTATTTATGTTTTGACCTTCTCTCTTACCGTCTATTTGTGCTATATAAATAATTGTAGGCTCAATTTAAATGGCCCTTTCTTCTTTTTGCCACACTTATCAGTACAGTACTACCACTAATACACTCTCTGTATGAGAAAAATTTTTTTTTTTGTCAAACAAAAGGACCTGGCCCCACTTCAGGCCCCAACCCTTATTCGGATTGTTGGATTACCCCATTTTTCGTTACTGGGACTCGAACCGGTGACCTACGGGATACTACCGCATGTGGTGACCGGCTGAGCTACCCAGGAAGGGCCTGTATGAGAAAATTGAAACGACAAAAAAAAGAGAGAGAGAGTCAATTTGAAAGAAAGGACTCATAGAAAGAAATTTATGTGAGTTTTTTTGGACTCCAACCAAAGAGAAAGAAGAAGAGTGGAGCGGAGACTTTGAGGGTTTTGGCTCAAATTCCGAAAATTCCAAAAAGAAGCAGTAGCCAAAGAAAGGCAGGAAAGTGATCGCCATCATCCCACCATGTTGGCCATTAAATGACCTCCTCCGTTTTCCGAACTTCCATTCTCGCCCCAGCAGAGCAGAGCCCCCTCAAACGCCCCAAGTATTAAATGCAGCACCCACCCCATCCCCCTCACTCCTCTCTCACTTAACCCAATCCCCCAATTTTCCCCTTTCTCTTTCTTTCTTTCAATTCAAATGGACCATTCCCCCACCCTTCAACCCCTTTTCTCCCAATGTCCACCCCTCCACCACCACCCCTACGGCCATTACCTCTGTCGCTTTCACCACCTCTAGCCCCTACCACCAAGACCTCTCTCGCCGAGAAACTCGGCAGCGTCGGCCTCGGCTACGCCATCGCCATCGCTTTCGGCTTCCTGGTCCTCCTCTCCACCGTCCTCCTCGCCTCTTACATCTGCTGTCGCTCCGCCGCTGCTCGCCGTCGCCGCCGTTTTGACTCCCAATCCGGCCCCCATAATCCCAGTAATAACCCCAACGAGACCAGCATCTACCTCCCCCGTATAATCTTCGTAACCGAGGATGAAAACGACGACGAAGTTTCCTCCTCCGAAAACGCCGTCGTTGGACTGGACCAGGCCGTTATTAATTCCTACCCGAAATTCCATTTTTCCAAAATAAACGCGAGTTTTTGTGCGGGGAATGATCCGGTGTGCTCGATATGCTTGTGTGATTATAAGGAATCGGAGATGTTAAGGTTGTTACCGGACTGTAAGCATTATTTTCACGTCACTTGTATTGACGCGTGGCTTAAGCTCAACGCCTCGTGCCCCGTTTGCCGGAACTCCCCGCTCCCGACGCCGCTCTCTACGCCGTTGTCGGAGGTGGTCCCACTTTCCCAATATTCCGGCGGACGGAGGAGGTCGTGATCACGCGCCATTTTCTTGACTCTTGTGCCTTTTGCTTACCTGGGTGGTTTGTTCAACTGCTGATGCCAGCGGTTCTTCCTTTTTTTTTTTTTTTTTTTCGCTTTTTGTAATTTCCTTCTCGAGAGGGAAGGAGAATTGGATTTTTGTTTTAGGTCGATGTAAAATGCAGAGTTGGGAATACAGCAGTATTGGATTGCAAAAAATTCATGTTTGCAGAGAGTTTGTAGGTGATTCTGATGCAATGCAACTCTTTGGGATAAATCAAGCTGCTAGGGGGAATTGATGTGATTCATGCCTGATATTTTGTTCTCTAGCAGCAGTAGCACTACGAACTGTAAAATTTTCGAGAATCGCCTGCTTACAATCTCTGCCTTCCGTTTTAATTGTCTCATTTTGATTGATTGTGCAGCATTATTCCATTTTCTTCATTCGCCCTTTCAATGTGCACTCCAATTCTCCATTATTCTTATTCTAACATGGTGATGGTGCCCATCTATTTTCTTTGTGGCCATCAACGTTAGAATTCTGCTACTGTTGCTTCTAGGGGGAAGAGAAGAACATGTTCTTGGACACTTTTGATACGTTAGTTACAAATTGACCAACTTTACTTGCTTTTCACTTTTCGCTTCCTATTGGCATCCAATCCAATAATCTAATCCCAAACCTACAGCATCAGGAAGATTCTAAATCAATCCCAAGTTGTACCTCACTGCTCTGCTGACTAATTCGGTTTACGAGGAGCTGCTACTTTTTCTTCTTTTCTTAATCTTTTTTCTAAGATAGCATTTGCAAGCAAACAGTTCAGGGGCATTGAGCCCAACTAGAGAGAGATTCGATGAGGGGCCTGCGTGGTTAGTTTGTAACAGGTCAGTAGGTTCTAAGGTGTGTAGAGATATGCTGAGCAAAGGCTGTCAAAACAGTTCGATCGGATGAATTGAATTGTCTCCCAATTTTCAGGAACACATTTGGCTACAGTTGGAGGAGGTTTTTTTCTTTTTGAAGGGACAGTTGGAGGAGTTCTCCGAGCTAACTGATAGTACGAGGTCATAAATAAACTGCATAGTCGGATCTGCTATGTAACTTTAGCTGAAAGCAACTGGTTTTTACCAAATAATTTAAAGCGTTGGTTCATCCAAGCCAAGCTTTATTTTATGCTAGCATCAGCTAGCACTTGCTCAAGCCTTCTTTTGTCTTTTGCTACTTGAAATTGCGGACTTCTTTAATTGAGTACAAGTCAAAAAGAGACATCATCAAACTATCATGATGAAGCATTTTAACATTGGAGTTGGAGGGCCTAGAAAATCTATCCCTGAAACTGAAAGTTTCTTGGATTGTAAGGAAGTGGAACATGCGGTCTCCAATCTCAAGATGATCATCTCAATTTCTTCATTCTATGGCAGATAATCCGAGTCAGACACAATCCAGTCCACCACTATCAACCCCAAAACTTGCAACCCTTTTTCGCTTTTTTCTAGCGTCAAGTCCTGCTTCACAGGAAAGTTCGGCTTGTGAATTTTGATGTGGAGTTCGCATCAAAACTTTAAGTATCTGCAATCTCATTTTGGAATGTTCGAGTGCTCGTGTCCATCTATTTTCAGAAGAACTCAAAAAGTTCCACTCTTTATTCAGAAATTAAAATTTGTAATCTTCTATCTGTTCTTCTTTCCCCTGGCAAGCCAGATGCGCGAAATAAATATCAAAGGAAAATTCAGGGCATGGAGAGGTTCACACAGGTTTATTATGGTACTAGGTACTGATTTGTATTGCTACCTTGTCAAATTTCTGTTCTCTTAGACCTTCGGTAATCTCTAGCACCTTCTGCAAGCGCAACAACCCCAAAACTTCTAGTAATTATGAAAATGAGATCAAGGCAACCTTAGCCACTCTTACTCAAAAAGTTCAACAAGAAATTGACAGTATGAAAGAATTGACTCATGAATCACCGTCTCCAACAGGATATGCTGTCTTTCTTGCTGATATTTTGGGTCTTGTTGAGTCAGTTAAGATGTCTATGTCTGCCAATTATGAGGCTCATGATCAAGATGGCAATTACAAAGTAGTGCATCCCATGACAGGCTCAGGACGAAAAGAACAACATGATGAACTAGCTGACTTCTTTGTGATAGAAGAAATTCGAAAGTACGTGAGGATCAAACCTAACAGACTCAGAAAGCAGAATTTCATAGGGGATAATGGCACATTCACCAGCATTGGCCATGCTTGTTTTGCCATGAAGAGAGATCTTGAAGAGTACATGGACTATGACGTTGGTGAAATTTGCAATGATGATTGGAAATTGGCTCAGAAGTTGATGGTTCATGGTTGTGATCCCTTACAAAGGAGGAGATGCTTTGCTACAGCTCCTAAGTTATATGGTAAACAATATCCAATTGATCAGTCCTTGTGGACGCTTCGCGATGATCGAAATGTCCGTTGGAGTAAATATAAATGCAAGAACTTTGCTTGCCTGGCTCAGAATTCCACTGGTAAAGGTTTCTTCAAGTGCGCAGACTGTTTTAGCCTTACTCATCATGAGATGTTCCGGTGGATTAAACCCTCATATAGGATCCGGCTTTCAACCTGACAGCAGATTTTACGATCCCTGAAGTGCTTGAGTTGATGCCAGGAGAAATCAGGATTGGACTTGATTTTAGTGTTGGTACAGGTACATTTGCCGCAAGAGCGAGGGAATTTAATGTCACAATAGTTTCTGCAACAATTAATAAAATATTGGGGCACCCTTCAATGAAATGATTGCTCGCCGTGGATTGATCCCTCTTTACTTGACCATTAATCAGAGGCTTCCCTTCTTTGATAATACTTTGGATTTGATTCACACAACAAGGTTTCTTGATGGATGGATTGATTTCGTGCTGCTGGGTTTTGTACTACATGATTGGGACAGAGTTTTGAGGCCAGGGGTAGTTCTATGGATTGATAGCTTCTTCTGTTTGGAGGAGGACCTGAATAACTAAGCTTTTAAGATGCCAAGGCACAAGAAGCATAGGTGGATTATAGTCCCAAAGCTCGACAGACATGATCAGGAGGTTTTCTTCTCTGCTGTCCTAGAGAAACTACCTAGGCCATTCTGATCATTTTGTCCAACCTCAAAGCTGCTAAATTTGTCCAAGTATAGGTAATGCGTTTTATCTTTTAAACTGCCATTCCCGTGAAATATCTTTGACAGAAGAGGTATGATAGCAGTTGAGTATGTGAAGAGTGGAAGAGAATAAGATCATACCATGATTTGTCACGCCATATACTCATATAACAAAATACAAGGACCGCATTGGCATTGTTTCTTGACAAAATTCTTACCAATCTAAATTTAATCGGTTCACGAGAAGTTCTAGTGCCAACAGCATAATGCAATGGAAAGCATTTCATGAGCTGCCATTCTGGATATCTCATTTTTTTTCAAATAATATTTCGCTTGCATTATAAACACATTTTTCAACCTACCTTTTTATATTTTCAACCATTTTTTTATTTAACATATATCATATCACAAAAAGTGCTAAAGTAATTACCAAGGAATGTTGGTACAAATGAAAGGGACTTACATCCCTTAACCATGAGATCTCGGGTTCGAAATGCATGGGGATGGAAAAAACAACGTTGGCAGAGCTTCCCCGTACAAGGGGCCCGACGCGGCTTCGAACAGGATTAATCGCAGACCGTAAAACGGATGCGAATGTCTGTGATTAATAATAGTAAAAAAAATACTAAAATAATTATTCTAAATAATATTTCAAATAATACTCTATCCAAACAAACAATATGATCCCTGGAATAAATGAATGCATATAGCGTTGTGGTGCAAATGGCTACTTTGCTGTCTTTTTCGAGAAACAGGGTCAGAAAATATGATGTTCATAGTGGGCTTTTCTCTTGCAATTGCATTCGTTTGGGTCATGATTTTGCCAGAATATTCGACGACATAAGTTTTCTGTGTCCAGACTTGATTGTCGGCACATTTCACTACCAATTTCAACAGAGCGTCTGTTTGACTTGCATTTTAGCAGGCGTTATGGGTTTTCTTTTTGTAGATATCCAAGCTGTAATATGCCCAAGGAATGATGCATGTAACTTTCCAACGAGCTTTTGTTTCCTTTCCAACTGGATCTGAGGGATCGCTATGAAAATAATGAAGCTTGGTCCATGATAGATCCTTTACATCTTGATAGTACTATTCTTTAAGAAAAGTATCTGCATTCATGGGGGAAAAAGAAATGAAATGAAAGTTGCCTAGTAATTTCTGTTTCTTCTGTTTTATTTTTATACTTTGTGTGCTTCCTTTCTTGTCTTGGAACAATAGCTTTAACAGTGTATACACTATCATGATTGAATGTATGATACATATGTAAAATTTAAATTCAAAATAAAATTATGTAACGATGAAGGTATATATACTATCAGTATATATACTAATTAGGAACAAAAAGTCAAAAAAATTGAAATTACAAAGTAATCTTTCCTCTAGTTCTCGTCATGGACATGTGATGAAGCCCAACAACACCCCCTGCAAATTTGACCCAATCACGTCTTCAAGTTAACACGCCGAAATTCAAGGCCTACTGCTTTCTTCCGTCCAAAGTAGGGTTGCAAACGAGTCGAGCCGAGTCGAGTTTTGAGCTAATCGAGCCGAGTCTTGACTAAATTTTACCAAGCTCGAGCTCGACGAGCCGGCAAATTTCGAGCTCGACTCGAATCAAGTCGAGCCAAAGTCGAGTTCGAAAAAAAATTAAAAATAATTATTTTATTTTTAAAAAAATAAATAAAATAATATTTTTTTCTTAATAAATAGTAAAATATTAATGATATATACGTAATTTTACTATGAAAATAAAAAATAAAAAAATATATATATACCCAAACTTAATTTTATTATTAAATAAAAATAAAATATATATATACCCAAACTCGCGAGCCGGCTCACGAGCTAACAAGCTTAATATTCTGAGTTCGAGCTCAATTAATATTGAGGTCGACTCGAGCTTGACTCGAGCCGCTCGCGAGCGGTACGATTCGTTTGCAGCGCTAGTCCAAAGCAGATACATTTTTATGTCCAAAGCAAAATTGATATGAAAAGGCAATCTAAAGCAAAAAAGTCACTCAAACAATTTTTTGAATTCAAATCAAAGGTTCGAAAAATGAGAGAAAACTCTTAATTTTATTGGTGCAATTCAATAAAGTTTGATAAAAGTAATAAAAACTGTTAAAAGAAATCCTAACGTATGCTTATTTACAGACTATATCAGTTTCCAAAAAAAAAAAAAAAAAAAGAGGAAGAAATATGCATTAAAAAAAAACGCTGAATTGAAGACCCTTCAATATAAGGCGTGAGCACGTTGTATTGAAGGAAATCTTCTGATAAATTGGACAGACTTCCCGATATAAGGCAGAGGCATGCTACACCAAAGAAAGTTTTTTGGACAACAGTTTCAATTACCTAATTATTATACTGTTAGCTTATCAACTTCTTGTGATTTATTGCGGGATCGTTCTTTTTCAACAAAAGAAATTACTGAAAATACCACAACAAAATTAGATTAACAAAATTGCGCGATCGTTCTTGCATTAAAAAAAAAAATGCAAGTGAAGAAGAAATTCATTCCACTTGGGCTTGGGTGTGTGAAAATCCAATCTGTACCGCCAAAGCCTACTATAAAGTAAGATGTCCTCATCCCAGCATCAGGTCGACACGTGTCCTCTATCTTACCTGGTCCTGGTCGGTGCCCCCCTCGCATAAAGCAACCTTATTATAGCCAGCCATTCCTTCCTTACTCGATAGACAGTCCAAATAGCGCCGCCCCCACCCCCACCCAAGAGTTCAATTATGTATTCATTTCCATGTTTGGAAAATTTCATAAATGGTTGTACGTTACAGTTTTTTGTTTAGTCCCTTGTATTTCATAAATTGGCTTCTTCCCATTTTTTTTTCCTTTTAACTAGGGAGGGGTGAAATTTAAAAAGTAAAACAAATAGTCCAAATAGCATCGCTCCCAAGTCCCATCCCTCAACCTCAGCCCGGCCAAAGTTTCCTTTATGTATTTTTACATAAGAAAATTTCATAAATGGTTGTATGTTAATTATTTTGTTCTATTTCATAAAATACACAGTAGTGACTTCTAACATTCATTTTCTTTATTGTTAACCTGCGGCCTTCTACATTTTAA